TATGATGACTTCCTCATAGGAGCAACAGGACAACTTGGCAAAAATACAAAAAGTGCTTGGTAAGCTTACTTTGGATTTATGGTGGTAGGTGGCGCTGTGGGAGATGGCAACATGAATCTATCTTTAGCAGAGATCAATACCTAATGGTAGTTGATGTTCCAGCGAAGGTCTGAATCACAATGAGCTCCTTATAAAGCTCCAGGAGTCATCAGGTGACGTGGGTGCAGCTGCTGATAATCTGCTGCCAGGCAACAGACTACGTTAGTCCTCATGAACCCACGAAGTTCTGACCAATTACACGCTGTGAGCCGCAAGGTSCACAGCTTTACCTCGCACAGAGGTACATGGAGGAGGGGGGTTCAGTTCACCCTCTCTGCCCTCGTGTGTCTTTTGAAAATATTGAGTTGGTCAAAACASACATCATTAATGGTGTGGGGCGTCTCCTAAAAGAGCCTAGTGTGTTCACTGAAATTTAAGAGTGTCCTGCGACTTTGACTCCCCCTGTAGAGGTCCTTTGATTACATGGAACTGACTACTACTTACCTTTTTTAGTTCCTATGGAAGCAATCAGGCTGTAACTATTTTTCACTCTCCTTTGCTGTTTTTGACATACTTTATGTTAAATAAATACTTACTTACTAACCATACTGTGGCAGGCCACATTTARCCCATGGGCCTTGAATTTGACAMATGCTTTAGATAGATGATTAATTTTTCAAAACCATTTGATTAACTGGAACTAATTTCWATGCCCCATTTTTGGTTCYTATAGATGTATTTAAGTTGTATTTTTTTCTTTCATGCTCCTTTGCTGCATTTTGACACACTTTATGTTAAGGAAATAATTTAAAATCTTCATTATGTCATATGCTGTTTATATAAGGACAGATTTACAAATTTCAAATCCCAATATCAAAAAATATGTTCTTCTAGGACCTGCCAGCATCTGTCAAGCTTATGTCAGACTTTCTGGGCAGTAATCTCAGTGAAGAAGTCATTCAGAAGATAGCAGAGCATTGCTCTTTCAAGACCATGAAGTCAAACCCCATGTCCAACTTTAACCTGGTCCCCAAGAAGTACATGGACATCGAGAAGTCTCATTTTCTGAGGAAAGGTACGTCTCTAATCATCCATCATTATTACATGTCTAAAGACCAACAAGAAAATCACATAGATTGTTCAGATGATATGATCTACAAATAATATATTCATATTTGGTGGATTTTATTATGATGTATGATATGTACAGTATCTCAGTAAAAGATTTGTTAAGAAGCACTGTGTACAGGTTAAATTCTGCCCTGTTACATAATATGCACTTCTGCAATATTTTAAATGCATCCTTCCTGTGGATTGTTTGAAATGTACATTCAAAATTAAACCATTCAGATTAAGGTAAATGTCATAAAACCACAAATAAACAGCACTTCATTTAGTCTCATCATGTTGTAACAACACATGAAGTGGTGGTGCAGAGCTTAGAAAAGGTGAGCCTGTGTTCTGAAGGTTCCCCACCAGCCTGAAGCTGCGCAGGGTGAGCGCGACATCAAGAAGCAACAGGTTCTGGGGCTCTGATGTTTTTCTGGATTAATTGTGCTCTAAACTATGCCATATCAAATGACTTCTTTACCTCTCCTCACCACGGGTCGGGACGATCATACCGCACAGCTGGTTTGCGCTGCAGGGCACCACCTGAGCTGACGATGAAGAGCGGAGATCAGAAAAAATAGTCCCAATAACCCTAGGCGGGCTGCTAAAAAAAACAGTGGCGCTTATTAAAAACTAAAAATTCACAAAATAAGAAAAGCCTTGTCCCTATTAGTGCTGGATAAATTAAATCTCTTGTCTCTGGCATCCAGAGAGATGCAGCGGCTCTAACAGGGCAGAGTGACTTCAAACAGAAAACTTCTCCCATAAAGCTCAGCCTGACAACAAATCAGCTGCTTACCTCAGAAGACGAATTTGAAAAGTCTTCCAGCTACATCTAACAGAGATGCGC